GCAGCGGTTCTGCGTGTTTGGTCCAGCTCCCAAAGTGAACGACTTCGTTCCACGTCTTGTGGACGCTGATCACCGAGGTGTTGATGAGACGACAAAGGTCCACGTCTGTGAAGAACTTGCACCAGTCGGGGAACGCCATCCTGTGGTTGAAACAAAAACACGTCCCTTCAGTTTAATCTGTGAGGAAGAAACTGTTGTTGCTAAAAAAAAAAACGAATCGAATCAAATCGACCAACCAGAATTCCCCGTCGTCCTCCACTGTGATGCCAAGGTTCCCCCTCTCTGTGTCTCCAACCTTTTGCCATTCTTCAGAGCTGACAAAGGACAAGCAAAAAGCATCTTCACTGCACAGAAACGTGTGCTAAGCTAAGCGTGCTAATGTAGCTAAATAGGCAATAAAAGCACGATTTAAACGTTGTCAAAGATTTATTGTCAAAGTTGAAGGTTATAATAAAGTTGAATACTAATACTTAATTGTTTTTAACCTTAAGAAGATGACTGAAAAAATCATTTTTTAATTCTGCAAATCTATAACAAAAAAACAACCAAACCATAGCTTAAATTAGCCAGTGAATAGCGTAAGATTAGCAAAACTAGATAAAAGTTATAGCAGGTATAGCTAAAACACAAGCTGTAAAAACTAAAGTAATTGACCATTATTCAAGAAATGATGAAAGAAAATACTTCAAAATTCACTAAAAACAAGTTCAAGATAGTTTTTTTTTTCACCTGTCGCTCCAGGGCCCTTTCCACTCGATCTTTCCCCAGGGGTTCCTCATGCGGATCATGGGGATGGTCTCGTTTTTGAAGTAGGCCAGGAGCCCGTGACCCTCCCCCAGACGCACCTGCTTCACCGCCGTCACAGAGTAGGCGTGGCCTTTCACCAGGCCGTTAGCCATCTTGGCCTCTATTTCATGTGGCTCCCCCTGTAACAGTTAAGGCGATAAGTACAAGTTTATCCACGAGAGAGAGAGAGACGTCTGAGAAGATGAGGGAGGAGGTCAGACCTTGATGGAGCAGCTGATGATCCCTCCACGGTCGTAGACCTTCAGCAGATCTTCAAACAACGTGTCCTGCTTCTTCTGGTCCTTGAAGTAATCTTCTCCCTCCATGTTGATGGTTTCTGTCACGGCTCCACTGAAGTCCACCACGGCATCTCCGGTGTTTCCTCCCTCCAACGACTCGTAGCAGCCGGACAGTCTGGACGCGGAGGGTGGAGACGGACCAGGAGGTGAGGACAAGACACTGTTATTTCTCTCTTGGATTTTAAAGTCATTTACAAGGCAGTGGTTCTCAAACTGTGGTACACGCCCTCCTGTTGGTCCGCCCGGTGGGACAAATGTTGTCGTGTGCTCTTCACGCCCTCCTGTTGGTCCGCCTGGTGGGACAAATGTTGCTGCGTGCTCTGTTTGACTATCCAGTCGAAGGGACATTTTATGAATTTTAGTTCAGCGACAGGATAAGAATTAATTACGGTTAGCATAAGGGGCTATGGGAGGTAAATGCTAAGTGCTGTGTGTGTGTGTGTGTGTTATTTTTGACTAACTTGGCGTACGCCTTCTCCAGCAGAGCACTCCAGAATTCATTGTTGGTTTTGGAGTGACAGTAGATGAGTTCCCCGTTGATTGTCGGCAGCCGATCGTCCACGACCACGTCCACCCACTGACCAAAAATCCAGAACTGGAAGTGAAAGATTCCGGCGTAATCTTCTGGGTTTTTTTCCTGCTCCTTCCAATCTGGAATCACCTGGAGGGGCGGGGAAAAAGAAGGAGAAGAAATAGATGTGGAATATACTGACACGGTGAAGATAATAACAATAATAATATAATAATAACAAAATATAGAAACTGTAGAAAAACAGAAACAACAAATATATGTAAATATATATCAGGGCTTTAGAGAAATGTATCTGCTGCTGCTGCTGCATCAGAGCCCAGACCTCAGTATCATCCAATCTGTTTGGGATGATGTGGATGTGCAGCCGGCCAAGAGGAAATCAAGTCCTGGAGAAGAGGGTTTGGAATGTTCTTCAAGGGGCTTGAAAAGTACAGGAAACTGTACTTCAGCGAGTTCATGCTGTGAGTACTGATTATGACGATGGTTTCAACCCCCTTTCACTAGCGCTAGTGTTAGCTACAACAGCCCTGGTACAGACACCTGAGCTAACGTTAGCTACAACAGTCCTGGTACAGACACCAGAGCTAACGTTAGCTACAACAGTCATGGTACAGACACCAAAGCTAACATTAGCTCCAACAGAACCCAGATCCCACAGAAACTGACTCACCTTCTTCCAGAGGTTTGGTTTTAAAGCCAGGCAGGAACAGGCAGCCACGAACCAGCAGTTTCCCACAACTCCCTGGTTCAGGTCGTGGGAACTGATGCCCTCAACAAACAGGTGAGGTTGACCAGTGGTGATTTCCTGTAGGAGTTGGTAAAAGACAAGGTCTCTGAATTCCTCTCTTTAAGTTGGTAAAAGACAAGGTCTCTGAATTTGTTTCTTTAATAATTGCGTCCTCTAATGATGACCACCTCCCCCATCCTCCCCATCCTCCCCATCCTCACCCCAGGTCTCTTCCACTGGACCCTTCCTGGAGGTGGTTTCCTAAAATATATGGATGAATTGGTGGCTGGAAACTCTGGATCCTCGAACAGCACTTTGTCCTTGATGCAGTTCTTCTTCAGCTCGTCGTAGTGCTGGTTTTTGTACGGAACGGCCGAGGAGAACATGGTCCCAACGATGAAGGCTCGCAGCTGCCGAGTCCTGACACAGACAGGATGCTGTTTAATTGGATTTGTGCTGGATGTTCTTCATTATCTATGAAAAGGAAGTGAGTGTCGTCCCCCTGGTTGTCGTGACGACGTCAGTCCTAGTGATTCAACTAAAATTAAATCTGCACTCGAAAAAAATCATTTCAAGGATTTTTTTTTACTCAATTTTGGCATTTTATGGATGGGTGTTTTGGGGGTCGTATTGACCCCACGAACACTGATGTGGCCCCCCAATGAAATGACAGTGAAACCCACTCGACTACACACATACTGTAGTACACGTGTATCCAGAGTCCAGAGTACTACACCGTGTAATACTACAGTATGATCACAGTATAAAAGCATGATAAGACCAGAATTCTACCTGAG